TTCAAGAACATCTTTGTTGCATTAGATGCTACAGACGAAACACCAGAGGAGTTGTAAGATGCCATCAAGTCCATCATACATGAAGAAAACAAAAGGTCATTAAAAAGAGAGGAAGAAAGAAAGAACAAAATGAATGTTAGAAGAGACTCTGAAACTTGCTCTTAAATATAGAGAAGCTAAAGCAACTGGAAGAAATAAGCAAGTAAAAGAGCTAATAGAAATTTTCAAAGTGCGGATCAAGAAGACAAAGTCAAGTATTCAAATGAAATGTTCAAAGACGTGATGGTAGAAAGCCAAAAGGGAAGAACAGGCTTAGCATTTCTCAAATTGAAAGAACTGAAGGAAAAATTCAAGCCTCAGGTTGCAGTGTTGAAGTATTCTAGGACAAAATATTGATTGGTGCAGGAAGCATCAAAATAAGAAGGACTACACAGTTTCAGTGCACAAAACAGAATTGGCCAGTGTTCAATCAATTCAAGAGTTAGTGTATGATCATGAACTAATAGTACTGAAGGAAGAAGGCCAGACTGCACTGAAGGCATTGGTGAATAACAACACTCTGAGGAATTGATGGATAGCATGGAAATGTTGCAGTAAACTGATGCAGAGCTGGAGGTGCTCACTTGTCTATACTAAGAAATTTGGAAGGCAGATGTCTGGCCAATCAATTGGAAGAGATTCATACTTGTGCCCGTTACAAAGAAAGGTGACCCAACAGAATGGGGAAACCATCAAGCAAAATTATTAATATCACATGCAAGTAAATCTGGCTTTAAATAATCAAAAAATGCTGCTGTGGTACATCAACAGAGCACTGCCAGAAATTCAATCCAGATTCAGAAGAGGGACTAGGGATATCACTGCTGATTTCAGATGTAGCAAGACTAAAAGCAGAGCAAACCAGAAAGATGTTTACTTGTGTTTTATTGACTGTGCAAATATATTCAACATTTCATGTGTGGATCAAATAAGCTGGATAAGATCATAAAGAATGGGCATTCCAGAACACTTAATTGTGCTTATGAGGAACCTGTACATAGACCAAGAGGCAGTAGTGTGAACAGAACAAGGGGATACAGAATGGTTTGAAATCAGGAAAGGTGTGTGCCAGGGTTATATCCTTTCAGCAGGCTTATTCAGTTTGTAT